TTTAAGAATTGTCTGTAAAAATAAGTTATAAAAAAAGTCCTGATCTATATCTCTTTTTTTTTTTTAAAGGCAACTGGAGTTAAGTGACTTGCCCAGGGTCACACAGCTAGTAAGTGTCAAGTGTTTGGTGTGAGGCCAGATTTGAACTCAGGTCCTCCTGACTTCCGGGCTGGTGCTCTATCCACTGTGCCACCTAGCTGCCCCTGACCTGTATATCTCATAAGCTTGTTTTGAGGATCAAAGTGAGAGCTTTTATAAGCTGTAACTATACATATGCACATATAACTATACATATATAGGGGCAGGTAGGTGGTGCAATTGATAGAGCACTGGGTCTGGAGTCAGGAAATCTGAGTTCAAATCTGGCCTCAGACGCTAACTAGCTGTGTGACTAACTTCGTGATCCTGGGCAAGTCATTTGACCCCTATTTGCTTCAGTTCCTCATCGGTAAAGTGGGGGTACCCTGGAGAAGGAAATGGCAAACCACTCAAGTATCTTTGCCAAGAAAGGTCCATGGACATAGTCCATGGGGGTTGCATAGAATAGGACACAACTGAATGAGAACAACAAACACAGAGAAGGTGGGATTATTAGTCTTGCTATACTCTAAAGTTTGATATTTTTCTTGATGGAGGAGATAGAAGCTAGGACTCAGTGAAGTGCAGGGGAGATGAAGGATGTTTATGTACTTTTTTCCTTTCAGATGGGGGGCTTAGCCTCCAACCCAAGCAGTCAGTTGCCAAGGTGGGCATTTCTGTGGAAGAATCATCCCAGGAAAGATTCACAAGACATGCTGACTTTGTCACCAAGCCGGGAGAAACCTGGGAAGCCCGTGACAGCTTAGATACACCAAACTGTGAAAAGCAACCTTATGAATGTAATCACTGTGGGAAGGCCTTCCATCAAAGCACAGGCCTTACTAATCATCAGAAAATCCATACGGGAGCTAAACCTTTTGAATGTAATGTCTGTGGGAAGGCCTTCCGTCGGAGCACACACCTTCCTCGACACCAGAGAATTCACGTTGGGGAGAGGCCTTATGAATGTAACAAGTGTGGAAAGGCCTTCCACAGGAGGACAGGACTCAATGAACATCAAAAAATTCACACTGGAGAGAAACCTTATGAATGTAATGCTTGTGGAATGGCCTTTCGCTGGAGCACAGGACTTCTTCGACATCAGGCAGTTCATACTGGGGAGAAATCTTATGGATGTAATATATGTGGGTTGGCTTTCTTTGAGAGAAAGTTACTCGCTCAACATCAAAGGATTCACACTGGAGAGAAACCCTATGAATGTAACGAATGTGGGAAGGCCTTCTTCTGAAGACAGGTCTTGTTTGCCACCGGACAGTTCATACTGGAGAGAAAGAAACCTTATAAATGTGACGGATGTGGGAAGGCTTTCTCTCGCAAGGCAGGACTTACTCAACGTGAGACGATTCATACTAGAGAGAAGCCCTACAAATGTAACAAATGTGGAAAGGCCTGCTGGCAGAGCACACATCTTGCTCAACATCAGAGTGTTCATACTAGGCAGAAACCTTATGAGTGTCACAGATGTGGAAAGGCCTTCTCCCGGAAGACAGGACTTACTCAGCATGAGAGAATTCACACTTGAGAGAAATTTGAGGAATGAGATGTGTATGGGAAGGTCTTCTGTAGGAGTGCATAACCTTTTCAACATCATAAAATTCATATGGCAGAAAAACCTTTTGGTTTTGGTAAAGCTTTCAAGAGCAAAAAAAAAAAAAAACTCAGGTGATATCAGAGGATTTATACCAGAATGAAACCTTATGAGTATAAAGTCTTATTAGAGTAATGTATATCAAAAGTGTTTGAGCAAAAGTCCATACATGTTTTACTCAAAAATTTAGAATTTAAATTAAAATAAAATCTTACAGATGAAGCCATCTCGGACTTGTCTATTCTAAACTTTCTCCCTCTCCTTAAGCCCCCAATTTTCTCCCCTCCTATGGTTACAGAAGTTGACTTCCATGATTCACTGAGAACATTGTTGATCTCACAAATGCCCCTTCCCTCAATTCCTTGACTCTAAACTCCTGAGAATCATCCCCAATTTGCTCTTTCTTCTTTCTGGTCAGAAAGGCAGAAACATAAGACTAAATACTCTGGGTGATCCCATTCCCTCTTGAGTACTCCAGGCCCTTCCTCTAGCACACATCTCTTCTCCCATGGACTTTTCATCTGTCACTCTCTATTGGGTCTTTATCATCTGGTTACAAACATGGGCTAGTCTCCTTTTATGTTTTTGGTTTTTTTTCCCCAACCTTGATAATATAGTGAATGCTTAATAGCCTCGCTACCCTCTAGCTGAATAAGAAGAAAGAGTAGAATGTCGTGCCTCTCCCTCACTCTTTCCAGGACTGTCCTGTGATGTGTCAGAGGAATATGAAGTGACTTTGCATTATTCAACAGAGCAAGACCATCTTGATTCAGTGATGCCGTTGAGTGGCCATATGGATTGGACCAAAGAACATGGCATTTGATTCATTTTATTAGGACAGACTCTTCTTGTTCGAAACTGACTCCTTTCACTGAGAAAGCTCCCAAGAGGTCATTGTGTCACGCGAGGGGATGAGACAGAGGCAGAGCCTTGAGCCCCAGCAAGAGAGCAGAGGACTATAACAACAGGACTGTGTTTGAAAAGAAGGCAGTTTCTGGAGTTTTACTCTTTGACTTTGCTTCCTCTGTTCCTCCTCTTTGCTGACTGCTGAGGGATTGGAAACCTTTCTGTCTCACTGCAACTTTTTTTCTTTTTTTTTTTCAAGGAAACACAAATTTTATTGCTCAAAAAGGTTCCCTGGACTGCAGATCTTTATTTATTACAAGGTTAAATTCTTTGCACAATCAGTTCTTTTTAATTGATCAATTTATATATGTTTGATACATTTTCAGGAAAAATGCCCATTTTCTATTAAAAGCCCTTTCCACGTATTTGAGAAAAATACCTCTTCTCATTCTCTATTTGCAAAGGGTTGGAAGGATGTCCAAATGTGAAATCTCCTTGTCAATGCTGTATGTCATCACCACTCAAAGTGGCATCACTAACTAGCATTTGTACGTTTTTGGAAAGATTTTTAAAAAGTGCTGATTTTGAATTTTGTGGGTTCTATAAAATTTGGGGGGGAAGATCAGTCTGAGCAAGAATTTTGCAGTCTGGCTGATTACCAATTTAGTTAACTGAAATTGCTTTCACTTTCAAAGGTCATTAAGGACTTCCTTTCTTTTTTTTTAAAATTAACTTATTTTTAGTTTTCAATGTTCACTTCCACAAGATTTTGAGTTCCAAATTTTCTCCCCATCTCGTTCCTCTCCCCACCCCAAAATGGCATGCATTCTGAATACCCCTAATCTGCCCTCCCTTCTGTCTCTCCCCCCCTTCTCTTATCCCCTTCCCCTTCAATTTTCCTGTAGGGCAGGATAGCTTTCTATACCCCAATTTCCTGTATATCTTATTTCCCAGTTGCATGCAAAAACAAATTTTTTTTCATCTTTTGTTTTTAAAATTTTGGGTTCCAAATTTTCTCCCTTTCTCCCTTCCCACCCATCCTCATTGAGAAGGCAAACAACTAGATACAGGTTATACGTGTGTAGTCATGCAAAACACTTCCACAGTAGTCATGTTGTGAAAGACTAAGTATATTTCCCTTCATCCTATCCCCCCCCCCATTTATTCTATTCTCTATTTTGACCCTGTCCCTCTCTAGAAGTGTTTGCTTCTGATTACCCCCTCCCCCAATCTTCTCTCCCCTCTATCATCCTCCTGCTCCCTTGTCCCCTTCCCCCCTATTTTTTGTAGAGTAAGATAGATTTCCATACCCAATTGAGTGTGTATGTTATGCTCTCCTTAAGACAAATCCAATGAGAATAAGATTCACTCATTCCCTCTCATCTTCCCTTGTTTCCCCTGCACTGTAAAAGCCTTTTCTTGTTTATGAGATAATTTATCCCATTCTACTTCTCCCTTTCTCCTTCTCCCAGCATAATCCTCTCTCAGCCCTTAATTTTATTCTCCATATATCACCCCTTCATCTTCAACTCACCCTGTGCCCTCTATTCATCTGTCTCTCTCTCTCTCTCTCTCCATACATACATACATATAATTTTTTCCCTCTAGCTACTCTAATGCTGACAAAGGAACTCATGAGTTACAAATATCTTTCCATGCAAGAATGTAAACAGTTCAACCTTAATAAGTCTCTAATGATTTCTCTTTCCTGTTTACCTCTTCATGTTTCTCTTGAATCTTATATCCAAAAGTCAAATTTTCTGTTCAGCTTTGATCTTTTCATCAAGAATGCTTGAAAGTCCTCTTTCACTGAATGTTCATTTTTTCCCCCTGAAGGATTATGCTCAGTTTTGCTGGGTAGGTGGTTCTTGGTTGTAATTCTATCTCCTTTGCCCTCCAGAATATTATATTCCAAGCCCTGTGGTCTCTTAATGTAGAAGCTGCTAAATTTTGTGTTATCCTGATTGTGTTTCCACAATACTTGAATTGTTTCTTTCTGGCTGCTTGCAATATTTTCTCCTTGACCTGGGAACTCTGGAATTTGGCTACAATATTCCTAGGAGTTTTCCTTTGGGGATCTCTTTCAGGAGGTGATAGGTGGATTCTTTCAATTTCTATTTTGCCCTCTGGTTCTAAAATATCAGGGCAGTTTTCCTTGTTAATTTCTTGAAAGATGATGTCTAGGCTCCTTTTTTTTGTTTTTTTTTTTTTTGTTTTGTTCTGCTTTTTTATAGGCTTTTTTTTTTTTATCATGGATTTCAGATAGTCCAATAATTTTAAAATTCTCTCTCCTGGATCTATTTTCCAGGTCAGTTGTTTTTCCAATCAGATATTTCACATTGTTTTCTATTTTCTCATTCTTTTGAATTTGTTTTACAGTGTCTTGATTTCTCATAAAATCATTAGCTTCCAATTGCTCCATTCTAATTTTTAAGGAAGTATTTTCTTCAGTAATCTTTTGGATTTCCTTTTCCATTTGGCCAATTTTGCTTTTTAAGGCATTCTTCTCCTCATTGGCTTTTTGGACCTCTTTTGCCGTTTGGGTTAGTCTATTTTTTAAGGTATTATTTTCTTCAGTATTTTTTTTGGGTCTCCTTTAGCAAGCTGTTGACTTATTTTTCATGATTTTCTTGCATCACTCTCAGTTTTTCCTCTACTTCTCTTACTTGCTTCTCAAAATCCTTTTTGAGCTTTTTCATGGCCTGGGACCAATTCATATTTTTCCTGGAGGCTTTGGATGTGGGAGCTTTGACTTTGTTGTCTTCTTTTGGTTGTATGTTTTGATCTTCTTTGTCACCAAAGTAAGATTCTATGGTCTGACTCTTTTTGTGCACTGTTTGCTCATTTTCCCGGCCCATTACTTGAGTTATAAACCCTCTGCTTCCAGTGTGGAGAATGTACTGTCCCAAGCTTCAGGAGTTTTTGCAGCTGTTTTCAGAGATACTTCTAGGGACCTGAAAATTTTCAGTTCTTCCAAGGTGCTATGATCAAGGACGAGGTATTTACTCCTTTCCTGGCCTGTGCTCTGGTCTATGAGTGACCACAAGCACTCTTTTCTGCCTTGGAACTGTGAGGAGGATTTCCTCTCCACCGTCATTACAAGCTCCACCATGCCAGCACTTCTCCTAGCCCCAGAACCACCACCCGGAACTGTGACCCAGATCCAAGAACAGGTAAAGCAAGAGAATCCTCTGATCAGCCACTCGATTTCCCCCTCAGTCTGTGAGCCTGAAGCTTAGGAGGCAGCCGCCACCCTGGGGCTGAGCTAGAGGAATGGGACTGGGGCCCCGAATTTCTCTTTCACCACCACAGACACAGACTTTTCCTACTGACCTTCTAAGTTGTCTTTAGCGTTCATGGGTTGAGAAGTCTGGAAACTGTCACAGCTGCCTGTGATTCAGTCCCCTGAGGCCTGCTCCAAGGTTTCTACGGCTTGTGTGCCTACGCTGAACTGCATTCCTCTCCCAGCCCTGCAAGATATACCTTTCTGATCAACCATCTAGGTTGTCTTGGGCTGGAAATTTGTTTCACTTTGTCTTTTTGTGGGTTCTGCTGCTTTAGAATTTGTTTAGAGCCATTTTTTACAGGTATTTGGAGGGGTTTGGGGGAGAGCTCAAACAAGTCACTGCTTTTTTTTCATTCTTTTTTAAAAATTAATTTATTTTGATTTATCAATAATCACTTCCATATGCTTTTGAGTTTAAAATTTTTCTCCCCCTTCCTCCCCACCACCCTCCCCAAGATGGTGCACAATCTGATATAGGCTATACATTTACATTCCTATTAAGCATATTTTCACATTAGTGATGTTGTAAGTAAAAATTAAAACCAATAGGAGGAACCATCAGAAAGAGGAAACAAAACTCAACAGAAGAGAAAAAAAATAGCAATTCGACTTCCATTGTTCTTTCTTTGGATGTGGATAGCATTTTCCATCACAAGGCCTCTGGAAATGTCTTAGATCCTTGTATTGCCGGGAAGAATTAAGTTTATCACTATTAGTCATCGCACAATGCAAGTCACTGCTTTTACTCCACCATCTTGGCTCTGTCCTCCTCACTGCAACTTTCACTCTTTCCCGCTAGCACCTCCAGTTACCGGCCCTTCCCCTTTCTCTTCCCTTCCTTACAGCAGCAAGGTCTTAGATAGAGAACACAGTGAGCAAAGAGACCTTCATTGACCTTCTGATGTGGCAGAACCTGGAATACAGAAGATGGAGACTGCCTCCTGCCTTCAGGGTCAGCTGATGAGGAGCAGGCCTGGGCCTCAGCACATAACCCAGCTTGATGAGAGACACATCTTTTAGAATCACTTTAGCTCCTTCCATTTTCTGTTTGAGCAGGAGAATAGGGGCGTGGCTCATTCCCCTGAATGGCCAGAGGAGCAGAGTTCTCTCTGTCTCCTCTTCTCCTTGCTCCCTGATGGGCTAGGGAGGACTTGTGTGGCAAATCCAATGTGTCTGGGACAGTTATCCATCAATGTGGAACCTCTTCAGAAATAATTTGCATCATATATTTCAGATTATTGTTTATGATTTTAATCTCATCATGTAGAGGTCACTTCAATAGGTAGGTTTTTTCTGAGCTAGAAATTTTCCCTCTTTGTCCCCATTAAATACCTCCCTAGGGCAAAATGATGTCTTTAATGAGATTTGACTGAGACTAGGCTATACCAGAAGTCCCTGAGAATGCTGGCCCTCAGCAGGCCTGCAATGTGGCTGGCTTATTAATGGTGCTAACACAAATAAAACATGGAGATAATCATGGTAACAATTAGCTTAGCTCTTTAGCTTTTACAAAGCGCTTCAAAAATAACGCCTTCTTTGATCCTCACAACAACCTTCTGAGGTGGGTTCTAGGTAAGAGAGAGCTGGGGACCTGCTGAGGACCCCACTGCAGTACTAAGTGCCTGAGCTAAGGCTTTTCTGCTTCATCCAGTGCTCTGTCCTGTAGGCCTGTGCCATGCTGTTTAACCTAAGCCATGGGCCCTGGCTGCCTAAGGATAAACACATCTCTTCATCAGGTTATGTCCTCGTTACTTTGTAAGCTCCTTTGAGGGCAGGGACAATTGCAAAAGAAATTACCAGAGCGCCTAGATATGGTACAAGAGTTCAAGCATCTGGATCTGATGAATTGTAGCAGGGATCGTTAACCTTTTATGTCCTGTAACCCTTTGGCAGTCTGATAAAGCCTATGAACAACTTTTCAGAATCATGAGCCCTGGACACAGAGTCAGGAAGATGTGAGTTCAAATCCCACCTCACATACATATCCTGGCTGCGTGACCCTGGGTAAGCCACTTAACCTCTGTCTGCCTCAGTTTCTTCAACTGTAAAATGGGAATAATAATAGCACCTATTTTCCAGGGTTACTGTGAGGATAAAATAACCTAATATACATACAGTGCTCTGTATACTTTACAGCGTTAGATAAATGTTAACTACTTAAAAATACAACCACCAGGACCAAAAGAACCTTCAAATGTAATTAGGAGACACAGGACTTGATCTTTGCAAGCTCACTGAGAAAGGGAACTGTATAAACCACCACAGGATTGGGAATGGGCAAGTGTCCCAGGTTTCAAAGTAAGGAATATAATGGATTCTGAAAATCCATTGGTCAGTGAGCTTGACTTCCCATCCAAATTCTAGAATGTAGTATTAAAGGAGTGATTAATACGAACACCTAGGAGTAGAAGTGGTGATTCCCAACCAGTATGGCTTTACCAAGAACAGGTCCTTAAAATGGCAGATCAAGATTGCTTCTCAATTCTTTTTTTTAGGCAATTGGAGTTAAGTGACTTGCCCAGGGCCACACAGCTAGTAGTGTCAAGTGTTTGGTCTGAGGCCGGATTTGAACTCAGGTCCTCCGTGACTTCAGGGCCAGTGCTCATCCACTGCGCCACCTAGCTGCCCCCTGCTTCTCAATTCTTTAAGGAGGCCAGCAGAATCCTACCTAGGGGAACATCATGAGGACCCCACAAAGGGACCCAGGCAGCTATGGATCGCCCCTTTGCCACACAAGATCTTTAAGCCTGAGCCTACTATTATGAGCTATTATTATTCCATGTATTTCAAAGCATTCCGAGGCTTCACCAGACTGCCTAGGAGGTGCCTAACTCAAGAACCCCTGCTCCAGAGAGAGGTCTCAGGCTCTCTCACACCAGTTCTTTATGGCCAATTAGAATCTCTGGGAAAATCACTGAAATCTTGGGATTCCCCCCAAAGGGTTCCTCGTCTTGCCATCGGCCTTGCCACTGCCTCGAAGGTCCTGGGCACCTGGCATCTGCTCTGCCCCTGTGCTCCAGGGGCTGGTGGTCCGGTGACCTGGCCTGCTGATGTAACCTAAGGACCCCTGGGGCACTGACCCCTTGGTTTTCAGCCCTTTCTGTCCACCTCCCAGCTGGACTTTCTTTTGTGTGGTCTCCCCCACTTATTGTGCGAGGTCCTTGAAAGCAGAGCAGATCTCGATTGCATTTATTTGCATTCCCAGCGCTTGGCACACAGCTGGCACTTAATAAATGCTCATTCCTTCCGAAGTCCGTGTATACAGAATAAGCACAAAGGCACTCGTGGCTGGGGGCGTTAGACAGATGCAGGCGGACGCTGGATGGAGTCAGGGGGAAAGCCCTCGAGGCCCACGTGGAGGACGGATGCCCCGGCGGCCTTGGTGTCCCCATCCCTCTGGACTTCAGCAATCTGGGGACCAAAGGTTCAGAAGAGGTCCAGCAACCTGAACCCACATTCTAAGAGCGCAATGCGCATGCTCACAAATCTGGAGCCGCGGAACTAGGTTTCCCAGAAGGCTTTGCCGCCCAGGAGGAAGTGATTTTCTTGGTCCCGCCCCCTATGCTTACGCAACTTCCTTCCCTCGCCTACTTGTTGGCACCGGAAGTCAGCCACTTCCGGATCTCGTATCGCTCTCTACTACCTGGACTCTTCTCCAGCCTTTATGTGGTGTGGGCTCCGGGACGGACCAAGGGCTGACCCCGCTGGAGAGAGAGGTAGGTCCCGGTACGGCCTCGGGCGCCATGTTTCCCGATCTTCCTCCCGTTATGTGGGATGGCGTGGGGGGTGGGGGGGAAGGCGGCCGGCGCGCCTGCGGCCGTCCGGCTGATCGCCGCTCTCATTGGACAGCGCGGGGGGCGGGCTAAGCACCTTATCCAATCAGAAGTGGCCGCTGCTCTTCCACGTTCTCAGTTCTCCGCCTGTGCCAGTTTCACTGACGTCACGGCCGCCTTATCTGCTTTGTAACTGATACCTGGGCATCCCGAGTCTGCTTTTTGGGCCAAGGGGAAGGAGACCGACCCCGGGGCCGCTAGGCAGTTCTTCAGGCATCTGAAGACTCCTGCGATGACGTCGCCCCCCTCTTCCCCCAGTTTTCTTATCGAGTCAGTCACAAAATACTTATTAAGCGCCTACTGTGTACCGGGCGCTGGGCTAAGCGCTGGGGATACAAAGAAAGGCAACTGCCCTCAAGAAGCTGACAGTCCAACGGGAGAGAGCAGGCAAACACCTGTGTACAAGCAAGATACAGAGTGAATGAAACATTTATTAAGTGCCGGCTGTGTGCAAAGCAGTGTTTTCAGTGCTGGAGAAAAAGACACGAGACAGTGCCTGCCCCCCAGGAGCTTACAATCCAACGGGGAAAACAGCAGGCAAACCCTTATGTACAAACGAGATACAGACAGAATAAATTGGAGGTAATCCCCAAAGGAAGGGACCAGCTGTGAGGGGAACCCTGGAAGGCTTCCTTACGTAGTTCTTGCGGGAAGCCAGTGGGGAAAGCATGCCAGGCCTGGAGGATGCCCAGTGTCGCCGGCTGAAGGGTGCACAAGCGGAGTAAGATGTAGGGAAAGTGGAAAGGGGAAGCTTTTTCCACTAATGCTGTTGACTCACACTGATTGTGCAGTTAAATAAAAACCTGTGCGGGGGACATTAAAAACTAGGGTTTACTAGCTGCCCCCACCCCACCTTCTTGTACTTTTGACTTTGATTTCTGGATCCGAGTGAAAAAATTCATATTTATTCTGGTTGCATCCCCTTAGTAGATGCAGCTCAGTGCTCTGGTCTTTTGAGATCTCATCTTCACTAGCCTTTCTTCTCCTCCTTTGTCCTCCCCCTTTCTTCCTTTTCTCCTCTCCTCTCCCTTCTTTCTTGTCCCCCCTCTCTCTGGCTCTGCCCAATTCATTTCCTCTTCCACTTATTCTTTTTGCCCCCTTCTTTTGTCTGTGTCTGCTCCTATCTTCCCACCATCCTTCTTTGTCCTATTATTCTCTTCTTTTTCCAGCCTCATCTTCCCCCTTGTCTTCTCCAGTCTCTTATCCACCTCTCTCTCCACCTGCTTCTCCTCTTCTAGTCTTTTTCCTGTCTGTAATGTCTTTCCTCTAATCTAGTCCTTCCCTTTTATCATCCCCCTTCACCTGACCCCCTTGGCCAGCTCTATTCTCCCCTTTGCCCCATCACATTCTTACCTGCCTGTCCTCATCCTCCTTTCTTCTCTCCCTTTCCTCCTCCTTTTTCTGTACTCTCCAGAGACCCTCTGGAGCCCTTTCCAGCCCTTAGATTCTGTGTTTTCATCTCTCTTACTCTTTTTTCTCTTCACCTTCCTTTCTCTTATGCATTCCCCCTTCCCTTTCCAAACCTGAAGTCGTTCTCTTCTCTCCTATAAACTCTTTTTCTACAAACATGACTATTTCTGCTGAGCACACTACCGTCTTCTCATTCACATAGGTTCCCTACCTTAAAATCATCTCTGATTCTTTCCTATTCCTTTCCCTCCATGGCTAATCAATAACCAAGTCATAGGCACATAGATTTAGAGATGGCTGTCTGACTACAGAATCAGTCTTCTTTCCACTGTGCCAGAAATAATATTAGTCATATATGAAACACCTACTAAGCGCAGCCAATTTGCTTAAAGCAAAAGACAGAAACCGTCCCTGTCATCACGTTTACATTCTATCAATGGAAGCAACATGTAGACGTAGCAGTAAACTCAAAATTGTTCGTTTTTCAGTTGTGTCTGACTCTTTGTGAGCCCATTTGAGTTTTTCTTGGCGGAGATACTGGAGTGGTTGGCCATTTCTTTCTACAGCTCAATTTACAGATGAGGAAACTGAGGCCAGCAGGATAAAGTGACTTGCCCAGGGTCACACAGCTAGTAAATGTCTGAGGCTGAACTCAAGTCTTTCTGACTTCCTGACTCTGGCCACTGCACCACCTAGCTCCTAGCTGCACAAACTCAAAATAGTTTGTAAGTAAATACGCTGGACGTGGTGGTCCCTGCTACTTGCGGAGGCTGAAGCTGGTGGGTCCCTTGAGTTTAGGAGTTCTGAGCTGCAGGAGCGCTACAGCAGATGGGGGTGTCCACATGAAGTTCAGGATCGGTGTGGTGAGCCCCTAGATGTGGAGGGCCACCGAGCTGCCCCAGGAGGGGCGAGCCTGTCCAGCCAGAAAAATGGAGCATGTGAAAGCTTCTGTGTTAGTCAGTTTGGGGATGGGACCTGGGAGTGGCCACTGTACTTTCAGACTGGGCAAGCTAGTCAGACCTCATCTCAAAATTAAATACCCTTAATTTTTATTTTAAAAGTAAATATGAGCTATTTGGAGGAGGGGATGGGGAAGGGGTCACTAAAGACCCCTTGTAGGAGGTGTAGGGGAAGGGCCTCCACGGCATCTCCTTTCCGTCCCTCTCCTGTCCTCTCCCCATGCTGTCCTGTGTTGAACCTCTCATCCTGTGCACAAGGCTCCCACCTGGTCCTTTGCTCCTCTTCCAAAAAGCTGCAGAAATCCCCTCCCAGAGGGCCAAGTGGGAGTGTCCCTCCTGCTTACCTGTATTCTGAGCCCCAGTGACTCAGCCCGGTGCCTTGGCTGCCCCAGGTGATCCAGACTTGCTTCCCGTCCTCACTCGTTACCAATCTAAGCTACAGCCAGCTTTTGTCAGTTGTGATGTAGTGGGGTTTTCCTTCCATAAATATGACATAACCAGAGAGAGCTTCCCACCAGTTTCAGACGCAAGCTGCTCCCTCTTCCTAAACTAGACGTTCCCTCGCCTTCTGTCTCCCAACATTCCCACAGATGCCCCTACCCCCAGGGCCTGGAACACACTTTGACCTCTGCCTCTCAGGTGCCCCTTCCCCTACACAGCCACTCCTGACGCCCGCCCCCAGTGGTCAGTACTCTCTCCCTCTGCCTAGTGCATGTCAAGGTGAGCTTCTTGAAACCAGGAACTGGTTCATTTCTGTCCTGGTTCCCCAGTGCCCAGAACAGTGCCTCGCACATAGTAGGTGCTTATTAATTCAGTTGTTATTGAATTGAATTAAATTCTGGGAACAGCTCACAGCTCCGTCTGATCTGTACCTCAGCAGGTTGGTGTTATGTGGGCACTTCTAAGCCTGGGGTGTGGACATCACAAGGAAGGGCCGGTCCCATTTATGGTCTCCTTTTTCTCCTTAGCTCCAACCTCTGAGAAGTCTGCCAAGGTGAACACGATGGCTCCTGTGCTCCTGACCTCCAGGGATCACCAAGTACGTGACGCTTTCCTCTTTCCTGAAATAACACCTTGGCTCTTTTCCACCTCCTCTAACCCAGTAAACTTAGTCTGTCAAAGAATCATAGATTTAGTTCAGGCCCCCGTGTTTTATTGTGTTTCCTTTTTAAAAAATTATTTTAAAACATGTTTGGGTTTTTTGAACATCGCGGTCATTTCCCAGCATCTCCCTCCACCTCCCCTCTTCGTTCTAACCAGAGCCAGTTGGGCCCCAGTGGTCAGAGCCTCAGGCGATCCTGTCGGTGTGTGGCATCCTCCCTGGCGAGAGGAGAAGCACTGATTCCATCCTCCGCCCTCTGGAGTCTGAATGCTGAAGTCTCTCCGGGTTGTTTTCCTTTATATTCTTAGAGTGTATTGTTATTATGCGTATTAATTCTGCTTTCTTCACTCTTCACAAGTTCACAGAATTCTGTCCTTATTTTTTCTCTATTCTTCACATTGACAGAGCATTCATTAAACATACTGTGAGCCAGGCTCTGTGCTAAACGCTGAAGACACAAATGAAAACCAGACAGCCCCTGCCCTCTCGGAGCTTATATTCAAATAGGGAAAGACAGCATGTGAGAGGGGAGGGTAAAAGGGGAGAAAGAGGGGTGTAGGATGTTTGCAAATAGGCCAGGAATGATGTGGAGGCCTGGTTGTGGGCAGAGCCCGCAGTTCCAGTGGGAAGGGGGCGGGGAAGATAGGGAGAGGCCAGGCAGTGCGGTTTAGAGATGGTTGGGAAGTGGATGGACCTGAGCAGCCATAGCCGACAAAGAGCCTCAGCTTCAGCGCTCTGGATGAATGGTGACTCCTCTTTGGGGAGGAATTCCTCTGTTCTTCATGTCGTTCCCCAGCTTGTCTTTTTGTGACTCCACCTATCCATAGGGCAAGTTTGCTCCGATGGAGCCTAATGGAGCGAGTCTAGACCCTTTTCCCTGGGACAGCCTTTAAACGCTCCGAACTAGCTGTCGGGCCCCCCCAGTCTTTTCTTCTCCGGCCTCAGCATGTCCTTGCCTTCAGCTGATCTTTGCACAGCTTGTGCTCTCGGCCTCCCCCCTTCCGGTGGTCCGCCCCAGAACGCTCTTCAGCGTGGCACGGTGCCATGGGTTCTCAGGGTTCCTGGTGCAGTCTGAGCTGGGCCGAAGCCCGAAGCCCGGGCCGTGCCTTCCTCTTCTCTCTTCTGTCCCACACCCAGGCGGGGAATGGCCCTTCCTCTCGGGGCTGCCATCGGTTCTGCCTCAGGGGTTCTGCCTCAGGGGTTCTGCCTCGGGTTCCTCGAAGTTGTGGAGAATTGTAAGGAGAACAGGATCCTCCTCATTGGTCCTTCCACTTCTCTGAGCATAAAATTATCATTTAGGCAAGTCAGGACGTCTTGGCTTCTCTGCCTTTGATGGTGTAAGAGAGGGAAGTGCTCTAGCGAACGGCCGAGTGGGTGAAGCCGCTCTCCCTGCCCCGTCACCCCTTGGTGCCCAGCTCATCGTCTCTTTCCCAAACTCCACCTCTGTTCCATCCCCACCTGCCCTCCCTGTGGCTTGGTGTAGCTGGGACAGTCTCCAGGCTTTCTGCAAACCTGCTTTTCTCTCTGTAGCTTCTCTCCTTTTATGTGTAGTCTTTTCCCATACCCTTCACTAGGATTTTTAAAAAGGCTTTATGTTTAAACAGGGGTGTTGCCTTTTGTTATCTTGTCTCTCCAGGAAATAAAATTGTTTGTCGCCCCTTACTCAATTTCCAGGCTTCTTGTGACAATTTATGTAGCAGCCCTTGCTAACGATACGTGTACGACGCATAGTGTGAGCGGTGCCCCTCAGCTGGTCTCAAGGACAAACACCCACCAGACCCTCCACCCTCAGCCTGCTGTCACCCAATTAATTCTTTATCTCTCTGCATTCGAAAGGCAGTCTATGGGTATGTTCTCGAATGGCCTCAGAAATTACTAAAAGCGTGAAACTCTCCCTACTTAGCTCCAGCACCCACCTTAGGAGAACTGGGGACATCTCCTCAGCCAGGTTTCTTCTCTCCCTTCATCTCCAACGGTGAATTGATTGGCCTTGACAAACATCACTCTTACCAGCCATGAGATTTGTTAATAGAAACAGAAAAAATTTAACAGCACATCAGCTACGAAGGGAATTGGAGCCAAAGTCTTCCCGGTGCCCTGGGGAAAGGAGTCGCTGATCAAGTGACATTCCTCTTGCCGCCTCTGTCGTGGGCAGGAGGACGGGCGGCGTGCCCATCGGCAGATCCTTGGAGGTCTTCTTATCGGTTGTCATCTCATACTTCTTCATTTGAACACTGCTTGTTTGTATCCCCGTCTGTTGAGGACCGGTTCTCGTTCTTCTGTGTCTTTTCTTATATCGATGTCCTCCTGTAACTTGACTATCAGGCCTTTCATGGAGAAGGAGAGGATCACAGGTCTAGTGGTTCCAGGGTTTTCAGGCCGTCTGGTCCAAAGTCTGAAACTGAGAGAGAGGCCGAGTGATTTGCTCAAGGTCACGCAGTAAGCACCAGAGGCAGAATTTGAACCCAGATCCCCTGACTCTAGAGTTTTTCACCTCTCCCTTTGCCTTGTCTTCGTCCTTGTGACCTTCGGCCCCTTGACCCCTCAGTTCTTCCCCAGGCCATCTCCCCTGCTCTAGAAGCTACACTGGCTTCCTCTCGTGAATCCCTCACCCCCTTACCATGTCATGGATGATGCCCAGCCAAGCCTTCGCTTGGACCACTCCCACCGTCCCTCGTCTTTGTGCCTGCACACCCGCTGAATGAAGCTGTTCCGACTGGGTCCCCTCCTGATGATGTGACACGTCGACTGGGCCTTCCTGCCTCACTCTCAGTCTCCACCAAGGCTCTTTCAACCCTTCTTATCCCTCCTCAACCTCCCATGGCTCCCTCTTCCCCCACCCTCAGCTGAGAACCTTGAGAGCCTCACATTTTACAGGAAAGATTGGGGCCATTCACCGAGAGCTTCCTCCCCTCCTGTCATTCAGATGCCTCCTGCCACCTTCTTCTCCTTCACCCTTGTCTGACGTGACAAAGTGGCTTTGCTCCTTACCAAGGCCAACCCTGTCCTTGTGTAGATGACCTCATTCTAGCCGGGTACCCTTTCTCTGTCATGCCCGCTCTCACTTATTTTCAATCTCTTTCTCTTTACTGGATCATTCCCTACTGGCTGCACACAGGCCCATGTCTCGCCTGGCCTGAAAAAATGCTCGCCAGATGCTTTCATTCCCACTGTCATCCCCTATCTCTTCTGCCCTTTGTGGCTGACCTCCTGGAAGAGGCGTCTACACTGGGGCCTCCACTTCCTCTCCTCTCACTGTCCTCTTCACCCCTTGCAGTCCGGCTTCTGACCCCATTATCCCACCCAAACTGCTCTCTTCAGAGCGACCAGTGATCACTTAGTTGCCCAATGCATTGACCATTCTCCCCGACCTCTGCTGCCTTTGACCCTAAGGATCACTCTCTCGCCTTTCCTACCCTCTTCTCTCCAGGTTTCCAGGATGCCCTCTCTGTCTCCTGGCTCTCCTCCTCCCTCTCTGACCACTCCTCTGCTACTTTTGCTGCGTCCTCCTCCAGATCACGCCCTCTAACTGTAGGCGTCCCTCCTGGTTCTGTCCTGGGTCCTCCTCCCCTCTCCCCCATCGTACTTCACCAGGTGGTCTCATCAGCTCCCGTGAATTTCACTGCCATCTCTCTGCTGATGGTTCTCAGATCTACCTTTCCTGTCCCCGCCTCTCTACTCACCTCCAATTTCACCCCTCCGGCTGCCTTTCAGACATCGAACTGAATGTCCAGGAGACATCTCAAACTCAATTGTTCGAAGTGGAATTCATTGTATTTCCCCCAAACCCTTTTCCCTTCCTGTCTTCCCTGTTACTGCTGAGGGCAACGCCATCCTCCTATCCCCTCAGGTTTCCAACCTAAGGTCATTCTCAACTCCTCACTCCCTTTCATGCCCCCCTCTCATATCCAAGCTCTTGCCGAGGCTCATCATTTTCACCTCTGCAGCATCTCTCATCTATGCCCCCTCCTCTCTTCTGACCCTGCCCTCATCTCCTCACACCTGGACTGTTACAATGGCTGCTGGTGGTCTGCCTGCCTCAGGTCTCTCCTCCCTCCAGCCTGTCCTCCCCTCAGCCACCAAAGGGATTTTTCTAAAGCTCAGGTCTGACCATGTCACCCCCTGCTCGGTAAACTCCGGCGGCTCGCTATTGCCTCCGGGAGCAAATACAGAATGCCCTGCTTGGCATACCTTCATCCCTCACTGCCTCATACCCTTCCAGTGTTTACACCTTTTTACCCCCTAACGTGTATTCTTTGCCTCAGTGACACTGGCCTCCTGGCTGTTCTGTGGGCAAGGTTCTCCGTCTCTCAGCTCTGGGCATTATCTCTGGCTGTCCCCATGCCTGGACGCTCTCCCTCCTTCACTCTGACTGCTGACCTCCCTGGCTTCCTTTAAGTCCTGGCTAACATCCCACTTTCTACAGGAAGATTTCTCTAACCCCTCTTAAGTCCAGGGCTTTCCCTCTCAATTATTTCCTATTTATCCTGGATATAGCTCACTTCGTATGTATTTGTTTGCATGTTGTCTCCTTCATTAGACTGTGAGCTCCGGGAGGCCAGGGACTGTCTTTTGTCTCTTTTTGTATCCCCACTGCTTAGCACAGTACCAGGCACATGGTAGGTACTTGATAAATGTTTATTGATAGAGCCAAGATTCTTTGTTTAAAAAGATTTTTTCCAGGGGCAGCTAGGTGGCACAGTGGATAGGGCACCAGCCCTGAAGTCAGGAGGACCTGAGTTCAAATCTGGCCTCAGACCAAACACTTAACACTTACTAGCTGTGTGACCCTGGGCAAGTCACTTAACCCCAACTGCCTAAAAAAAAAAAAAAAGTTTTTTTCCCCCAGTTAACTGTTTACCTTCTAATCCTAATTGCATTTATTTTGCTTATTTAAAACTTCAAAAATTATTCATTTTTACTTGTTTGATCATCTCTATTCCTTGTTCTTGTTTAATTAATAATTGTCCCCCACCCGTAATCATGAAAATGATCTCTTTTCCTCTAGTTTATTTATGACATGACTTTCTATATTTAGGTCTTGGATTCATTTGGAGCCCAGGTGGTGTGAGGTGTTGATCTAAACCTAATTTCTGCCACATTACTTTCCAGTTTTGCCCACTGTTTTTGTCAGTGAAGGAATCCTAACCCAGTCAGTCGTTGGCATCCTTGGATTTATTAAACACTTTACCACTCTATTCTGTTGATCAAATGTTCTGTTTTTTAACCAGTGCAAAATAGTTTTACTGATTAAATGAAGAAGGGAGGGAAGGAAGGATACATTTATTATGCATTTACTATTTGCTAAACAGTGGATATACAAATAGCAAAGCAAGATTATCCATGTTCTCAAGGAGTTCACATCTTGACCACACCTATAGAGAGGATGAAAGGATCCCCTGGTCTTAAGAGTGAAGCTGAGGGTGGGTAAGATTTGCCATTTCCTTCTCTAGCTCTTTTTACAGATGAGGAAACTGAGGCAAACAGGGTGTATTGCCAGGTGAGAGGACAGTCCTAGTGGTCCAGAGGGCCTAGTGGGAGGATGGCTAGGCTCCTCTCATTCCTACTTTTTCCATTATTTCCCTTGGGATGCTTTACCTTTTTTCTCCAGATGAATTTTGTTGTTTTCTCTAGATCAGCAAATCTGGATGATTCCAAAAACTGCCTTCATTAGGATAGGTTAGAGAAGATGGAGTGAGAGAACAAATCCTAAGGAAATAGGAGTCTCAGGGGACTTAAAAATGAATCGGAGTAAAGTGTGTGATGTGACGGTCAGAAAAGCCGTCTGTCCTCTGCTGCCTCCTGAGGGGCCTCCCGTCTGGGAGGAGAGACAGGATTTCATCACCGTCTGCCCTCGCCACATCTGAGAAGTACATAGGCATCACATAGAGTTATCGAAGTGGAGCATGCCCAGAAGAAGGCAGCCAGAGCAGCGTGAGATTAAAAGATCGTTCGGAGGAGCTGGGGTCCTGGGGAAGGGGCGATAACAATCTCCAGGGATTTAAACGGCTGTCATAAGGAAGGGGCAGCGGGGTGGCTCAGTAAATAGAGCTCTGGGCTTAGAGGCAGGAGGACTCATCTCCCTTTACTAGCTGCGGACCCTGGGCAAGTCACTTCACCCAGTTTGCCTCAGTTTCCTTATCTTTAAAGTGAGCTGGAGAAGGAAATGGCAAACTGCTCCGGTAACTTTGCCAAGAAAACCCCAAATGGGGCCATGGAGAGCTGGACACGACTGAGAAACAACAACAGGTGGAAGAAGGATTAGGTGTGTAATGTTTGGTCCTGAGAGAAAGAACTAGGAACATTGCGGGGGAGTTGCCAAGCGTAAGAGTAAAATCCCTAAAAACCTGAGCTTTCTGAAAGCAGAGTGGGCAGCTCTGTGTACGTCCTCCTCGGACATCTTCAGGCTGCGGCTGCAGCCCCACTTTTGGGGATTCTTTGGTTTGGGTTGGTCTTGGTGGTTCTGAGGGCCCTTCTGCAGATGTGCCCATCCTCCCACGTCCGTATGAAAAAGGGAACCCGAAGATGCAGAAGTGTGTCTGCTGTTTCAGGAGTTGGTGACCTTCAAGGACGTGGCTGTGGAATTCACCCTGGAGGAGTGGGGACACCTGCACTCTTTTCAGAAAGCACTGTACAGGGACGTGATGCTGGAGAACTACAAGAACCTGGTCTGCCTAGGTAAGAACAGCGTCCCCCTGCTTACTCCATGAATACCTCGCATTTATAGAGCGCCATTTGTGTGGGTTTTTGAAGCACTTTACACATATTACCTCATTTAACCCTGGGAGATAGGAGCTGCTATCCCCATTTTTACAGATGAGGTAACTGAGGCAAGCAGATGCAAAGTAACTTCTCCAGGCTCACACAGGTAGGAAGTGTCTGAGGCTGAATCTGAACTCAGGTTTCCCTGACTCCAGGCCTGACGCTTTATGTACTCTGGCACCCCATTATGTGCTGTGGGGTTCAAGGGTACAGATATGGTTCATTCTTTTGTGGACTCAGGATAGGAAACTTGTGAATGTGCTGTGGTTTGTACCAGTGGAGGGTGGCAGCTGGAGCTCCTGCCTCTCACTCTGTGATCTGGCAGCTCCAAGATTCTTCCCTTCAGACTCTGAAGATATGAAATGTCCCTTTCATCTGAACCCACCTCCTTTCCCTCCTACTTCCTAGCAAGTTAAGGGTGTCCTACCTTAAGAGGTCCTTGTCATTCTCTAGGCCTTCCTTACCTGGCCATTTGTCTCCAAAGAGATGCTGGTCACATCCCAAGCAGAACCCAACACATTTCCTTTTTCCACTGATAGGGCTGGCAGTTTCCAAACCACATGTGATTTGCCAGTTGGAGCAAGGGAAAGTCCCTTGGATGCCAGAGGGTGATATCCCAAGAACCCCCTATCCAGGTGAGTGAATGAGACCCCCAGCACGTCATCACCAACAACACCACAGCTGATCATTGAGGGGGAAAGAATTTTGAAAATGTTGGGCAGGGAGGTCTCCTTCCAAACTCCCTCCACCTGGGAAGGTCAGCGGAGGCGGTCCCTGATGAGCTGGTTCGGCTTGTCTGCACTGAAGCAAAAGACTCCCTGATAGGGGAAGACTCCCCCCAGTACAGACCCCCGTTCTCAGATGGGAGGGGCGTTTTTAGGAAGCGTTAGCTCGCTCTTTTCCAACTTATATTGTTGGCTCTTTCTCAAGAGCCATTCTGCTTCCCTTCCTTATCCATTTGTTATCCTTTTTCAAATGTGTGCCTTAACCCAACATGTGCATTTTGCGTGTATTTTTTGTGAAAAAGCTATCCTATTGGCTTACGTGCCACCTCCTGGTCAGTTTCTTGGTGAATACTTTAAAAGGATTATGTTGCTGTAAGAATGTGTTCCACATAATGTGTGAAACGTGGAGGGCTTTAAGTGCCAAACAGAATCACTTGGATGTGATTCTAGAGAATTAGAGGGAACTCCGGGAATTTTTTGAGCAGGGGAGTGAAATGGTCCGACTTTTGCTTAAGAAATATCGCTCTGATAGCGTGGTGTACGGGAAGAAGACGAGAGAAACTGGTGGACTTGAGCCCAGTTAAGAGGCCATCTCCAGGTAGTCCTGCTGAGAAGTGATGAGACCCTCAACTAGGGTAGTCGCCATATGAGTGGAGAGACATATTGTGGAGGTGGGATCAACAAGACTTCACAGGTGATTAGAGGGAGAGTGAGGGGCCTGGATGACACTCAGGCTGGGCACCTTGGTCATTTGAAGGGCAGAAGTACCCTTGACAGGAACAGGGAAGTTAGGGAAAAAAATTGATTATGGGATTCACTTTCCCTCATTTGGAAAATGTATACCTAACTATTTCACATGGTTGTTTTAAGAAGAATTATTTTTATAAACTCTAATTGACTAAACAAACATAAAGCAGAATATGTTTGACAACAGTTTGTTTAATGGAGAAAAGAGAACGTAGGCCCAAGTGTTAGGCAGAAGAAACAGAAGATATTTATGTTTTTGTTTTTGTTTTATTTTATTTTAGATTGGGATACTGGACCTGAAACCGTGGAGACAGCTCCAAAGGTGGACATCTCTATGGAAAAATCATTCCAAGAAAAATTTGAAAGGAGTAGTCTCTTTCTCTCCAAGTTTGAAGAAGCCTGGGAATGTAATGCCAACTTAGAAAAGGAGCAGGGAGGTGAGGAGAAACAGTCAAGGCAAATTAAAAACACCCCAACGAAAGCTCCCCAAAAAGGGACAGGACATGTATATGATAAATATAATAGAGGCTTCTATCTAGGACCAATACTTTTCCCGCAACATAGAGTGTCTGTTGAAAAGGACTTCCATCAGTGTGATGTTCACAAAAAGAACTGTAGATTCTATTCAAACTTGAATAAATGTAATTGCATCTGCTCAAAGAAGATGTTTTCTAAGTTTAATGAATGTGAGAAATTCTTTAGTTATAATTCAGACCTTAGTGACAACCATAGAATA